CATTTTTCAACCCAGTCATCAGTTTTTGGATACTTAGGTTGGTTCCATGTCATAGCAATTGTGAATAATGCTGCAGTAAATATTAATATTCAGGTGTCTTTCCAATTTAGTGCTTTCCTATCCTTTGGGTAAATACCAAGGAGTGGAATTACTGGGTCATATGGTAGTTTTATTTGTAAGTTTTTGGGGAATCCCATATTGTTTTCCACAGAGGATATACTGATTTACATTCCTATCAATGGTGTAAGAGGGTTCCCTTTTCACCACAGCCTTGCCAGAACTTGCCCTACTTTACTTTTTTGATCCTAGTCATTCTAACTGGAGTTTAATAGTATCTCATTGTGGATTTAAAGTTCCACACCTAAAAAACCATTGAAGCCTGCCCAAAACACATGGCTTAAGCTTAATAAGATGTACATTTATTCTTTTTTTTAAAGAATTATTTTATTGACCTCTATTTTAATTTGACCAGAGAGGGACAGAAAGAGGGGAAGGGAAAATGAGAAAAGAAGCCACCAGGTCTGGGACTCAAACCATGGTCGGCCACATGGGAGTCCAGCGCCCTTAACCACCACGCCACCTGCCAGCCCCACACATTTATTCTTATCACTTTTGTCTTTTAAGTTAACTTGAGAATATCTTGCTTCTCTATAACCCTTATACATTCATATTAGTCCATTCCTGGAAAGGTATCTTTCAAATAGTTTTATCCAGCCAACCCTCAACTTGTGTAAGAGTTCATGAGACTCAGTAATGAGGCCAAGGTGATTCTCAGAAGAGAGACACTATCAAAATCTAAATCTTGTGCCAACTCTCCGGTAAAACTTGGGGATGTTTTTCTTCATGCCATTTCATCCCATTCAACCTCATAGGCTCCTGGAGAATTTCAGTACTGAGACTCTTCTCAGTGGTCTCAACCCATCCCCCAGGGACTGCCAGGAGGGAAGGTCCAGTCAGAACATCACTTGGTCAGCCCTTGGTTACTTGCAATTTGTCTTTTTCATTTACCACTACATGGCATCTTGGAAAACTATCAACTGCACCCCAAATTCCTGCCATGTGATGCTGGATTCATGCGAAAGATCACAGGTTTGGTTCCCTGGTCAACCTGGACACTCCTGATGCTGACCACTTGGTGGGATCACAACATGAGACCCTGCTGAGAGTGATTTTCACTCTCAGGAAAGAAACTTTAAAAAATAAAAAAGTACAGATGGATCAAGTCATTGAATTTTCATACATCCTTTCTTGGAGAAGAACACAGATGGTGGAATGGGTAAGTTACATTGGTTACATCTTTGCTAGGTTAGTAAGCTCTCACCTTCTGAAGTCCAAGAGTGATCTCGGCTTTTTGGAAATGTTAAGGCCTTAGTCCTAGCATGGGCGATGAGCTCGGGTGTCTGACATGCTGACAATAGCTCTCCTATGGTTGGCTCCAAGGAACCCGCTCACAATGGTCTCTGGGGCAAGAATGCAAAGCCACTTTCTGGTTCCTTGGTGCTCCCTGGCTTGAGAGAGCAGACTTCTCGAAGCTTCCCAGAGAACTCAGACTGGGGAATTGCTATTATATAGGACTTGAATTGGGAAGGGAAAAAAATGAGCATGAATTTACTCAAGGCCCCCAATAGGCTCCTTAAGTACATGGCAGGACCCAGCTGTGGCCTGAGGACGGCAAGAGGGAAATTCCGTTAGGCACTTCGTAGGACTGACTGGAAAAAAAATGAGCATGAATTTACTCAAGACCCCCAATAGGCTCCAATGGCAGGACCCAGCTGTGGCCTGAGGACGGCAAGAGGGAAATTCCGTTAGGCACTTCGTAGGACTGACTTCAGGCCAGATGGAATAGGTAAGTCTGCCCATCAGCCTGACCTGTCCTGCCCAATCCCTTTGCAATGCCCACCCCCACATTGCCACCCCCTTCCCCACATTACCCCATGCTGCTGGTGTTTCTGCTGCCCTGGCTGGTTCCGTACTGGACTGCAAATCACAGCTATAACAGAGTCACAGAGAATGCTCCAGGCAGGTGGCACTTGCCTCTGCAGAGGACAAGGCTCCTCACTGCCCAGTACTTTGGGGACAAGGTCAGAGACTACCTTGGTGTCACACTCTTCCAACCACTCTGTCTAGATAGAGTCCCACAAGGGATGGTGGCTCCTCTGGCTCCACCTGCTGGGGACGTTTGAGCTGGCAGTGACAATCCCCTTCTTGGCCAGGCACCCCACAGACTGGCCATTTTGGGTGTGTCCTTGTAACCTGGCCAGGCCCCATCCCTGGCAGTTCTGCAGCCTCGCTAGTCACTCCCACCTGGAATGGTGAAACAGAGCTGGACGGGGGTGAGACCGAGGTGCGCAGTGTTCCTGAGCGTGAAAGGCGAGAGAAGCGTGTGTCATGTCTCTGATTAGAGTTAAATCTGGACAACTCTAAGCTACACCCTTCATATGTGTTGTTTTTTTGTTTGTTTGTTTGTTTTGGGGGGTTTTTTGAGAGGTTTTTGTTACAGGGCATGTGCCCTCACCAGAAAAAGGGAGAGAGAGAAAGCAAGAAATCACCCCCCAGGGAGGATGGCCACGCCACAATCCCTTCTCCATTCTCCTTTCGGGATCTTGGGCACACACACACACACACACACACACACACACACACACACACGCGCGCGCACCCAGCCTGAGTTTAAGCCACTGGGTCCAAGACTTGAACCACGGCTGACTACATGGGAGTCCATCGACGTAGCCATTACGCCAACTGCTGGTCCCATCCTTCATATGAGTTTTAAAAGGACTTGCCAGAATCAGGAAGTGAACTCCGGTCTGTTTGGCCTTGTACGCTCACAGTAAAGGTGGACGATTCTGCACTGCAGTGTGCCCCAGGGTACCTCAAACGAGTCATGTGGCCAAGGAATGTGGCCCAGAATGGCCTCGACCTTGCCTTGTCGAATGCTCTCATTTTCCATTGAGTCTCAGGGCTCTTGCCTCGACCACTCCATAAGTGACCAATACTGGAGACATGAAGGGGTTTCCAATGGGAGTCCTGGCCCCAGATTTGTTCTCATTTGCACCCTACGGGACTGGTAGGGTAACCCTGCCCTGGCACAGAATGGCACAACTGTGGGTGTTTCTGGAAATCAAGCGCCAAAGGGCGAAGGTTGTCAGTTTCTGACCCTGTCCCGGTGGGCGATGGAGGCTGGCGTGACTGTACTTGCTCCCTGACCCCTCCACCCGGTGGCCTATCTGCACAGAGGGGCCGCTCCCCACTGAGCCAGGAAAGGAAGGCAAGGGGGGCACTTGGCCTCCTTGGGCAGCGGGGGCAGAGCAGACAGACTGCCTTGACCTTGAGACCCCTCCCCCAGCAGAGACTCAGTAGGCGGGGCTGGCAGGGTCCTACCGTGGCTCCCTGATTGAGGCAGAAAATCAAGTGGCCTCTCCCTGAACACTTGCCAGGAAGGAGATTGCTCTGCCCACTCCAGACCTGTGCCACAGGGCCAGGTTATGCAGGTTGTGCAGTAGGAGGGGAAAGGGGCCCAGAGCCCTGAGAGGAAGTGCCCATCGACCCGGGTGCTGCCGGCTCCAGGTCCCCCTCAGCCTGCAGGGCTCTGGAAGATGACAGTGTATTTTGTCCTTCCTGGGATGGGTCAGAACCCAGTACTCTGAATTTCTCTTGGTCCTCAAAATTCAGCAGAAGCCCTGGAGCTGAAGAAAAACCCTCAAAAAGCTGGAGTGGATCAGCTGATGACGTCTTGTGTAAGGCCACTGAATACCGCATGGCCAACTGCATGGTTCAAGTCCCAGACCCTGGGGCTTGAAAAACATGCTGGGCGGATGTGCATGCATGTCCAGAATCAGGAGAGGCGAATAGGGTAGGAGGGGTTGTGTGGTCATTCCCCTGGGGGTGTTTTCTCACTTTCTCTATCCAGTGAGCACACATGCCCTATAACAACATTGTTTAAATTTAAAAAGACTGAAGCAATAGAGCTGTTTGGAACTGGGGCTCCCTCCCCCCCAGAACACGTTGTGCTCTTCTGTCACCTGAGCAATGAATTACAGGGTTTGGAGCTAGAGGAGCCCTTCTGCAGCTGGAACCAGCCTGCACTGCCAAAGGGTCAGGAAGCTGCCCACGCTGACTTAGAGGGACAGGATCTTAGGCAGGCAGGGGTGGGTGCCCTGGCTGCCTGATGGCATCCTCTTGCATGGGGCCCTGTTTCACACAGGAGCAGAGCAAAGAAGCTTCAGTGGTTTGTTCTTGGTGTCACTTCTCTTCTGGTTTAAAATAGCCTTCACTGGCTAAGTACTCAGTTAACTTACAGATGAGCATCTTCCCTCCAGAAGGGCCTGGTAGGTCTGTCTCAGGCCCTTGAGGCTCTGGGGGCTTGCCCTCTTGTACGCTGCATGACTGCAGGTGCTCCAGGGCCGCCCTCCAGGGACCCTTGTCTGTGATGCTCAGTGGACACCCCCCCCCACCTCCGCAACAATCAGCCCTGCTGCTCAGGGTCACTCTCCCGTCACCTCGTGCCCTGGCTAGGCTCCTGGGCCTTCTCTGGCACATCACCACGGCCCTGCTGCTCTGCACCCTCACCCCCACCTGAGCGGGCAGATTCAGGCAGCTTGCCAGAGTCCCCAGCAGGAAGTAGGACACAAAGCCTTGCTGTGCGCAGCTCTGCTGCCCTCTCTGGAACTGCTGTGTTTTTGACACTTCTCTCCCTGCCAAAACCAGGGCAGTGGCTCATAGGTCTCAGAAACACCGGAAGTGCCCCGAAACTCTGATAGGCTGAACACATGTCCCCTTCAAGAAATATGTATTTTTTAATAATGTTTATTTCATTGTTTTATTATTTTTAAATTTGGTATAGGGCAAATATGCTCACCAGAGAGAGACACAGAGAGAGAGAGAGAGAGAAAGTGAGACAACAAGCCACTAGGTCCAGGACTCGGGCCACTGTAGGCCACGTGGGATTCTAGCACCTTAACCACCACACCACCTGCTGTCCCCTCAAGGAGTGTTTTTAACGAATGCTAAAGGCAATGCTTGCCTTACTTACGTCAGTGGGGATGAATGTTGACATGATGACATTTAGGGATCAGCAAATTGGTCAGGGGAGGTTTTTGAAGCCAAGGGACCTGCCTCAGGCCACGGAATTCACTAGAATGTGGTTCACCAGATGTGAACGGCAGCCTGGTCTCGGCTCCTAACCAGAAGCTGTGCTGCCTTCTGGCTGTGCAGGGCAGAACCGTCCCAGCCGCCAGCCTTCCCCACCGCAAAGGAAGTGCCTCGTACTTTCCAGTTCCTTCCAGGGCCGGCAAAACTTCACTTTGTCCGATGGAGTCGAAGGGCTAAGAGGTCAGAGTCTGGCTTTTCTACTCCCAAGAACTCTTGGATGGAGCTCCAATTTATGTTTTAGAATTTCTATTTGAGAAAGAATTTGGGATATTAACTTTCAATGCATTTAATGTAATTAGGAACAAAAAGTTCAAATTGGAGATTTGTCTTTCGAATTCTAGTCACTTAGCACTCATGCATTCCAAGACTGTGACTTCAAGGGCCTTGTCCCTGCCTCTCCCACCCTCCGACCCTGAGCTCAACCCCCATCCCCCCCTTGCCTTCTCTGCAGTTCGTATTTACTGAGAAGATCCTTGCTTGCTCATCAGTTGAGATTATCAGGGGGACATGCCCTCCCCAACCTAATGAATGCTTCAACAGCAAGGCCTTTGAACCCTGGACTCCAGTTAAAAAGTAACAGGCTGGGGCCTGGATCAATTGGAGACAAATATGAACTGCGAGGGCTGAGATACAGCCTTGGGAAGTCCCTGCTGCTGGCAGTGCGAGGAGAGCAACGGTCATGCCTGACTGAGGGGCCAGGAGCCACTGGGGTCCCTGCGTCCTTGGGCTAGTGTCCTGTTCTACACGTGGAGCATTCAAGCCACCAGCCCTGAAGTCAGCTTCCAGAGCTTTCTTGGTCTGACGACTGCAGTGTCCTACAGGGTGTCCACATGACTGCCCACCCCACGCCCGTGTCTCACTCTCGAGCCAGCCTGCCTCCAGCAAAGCTCTGATCGTGTCCCTCTACTGCCGGATGTGTTCTACGACCCCCGTCTGCACTCGTGCCTGGGGTCTGGGCCATCGCAGATGTTGGGACAGGAGGGGGATAGAGTTCCAGGCAGTCAGATCAAAGGAGTACGTCCCTGTCCTCGCCCTCCCCTTCTACTGTGCGCCACCATTTCTTCGTTGTGAAACTCTCTGACATTGCTCTCTGCTGGTTTTTCTCTCACTCTCAAAATGCCTCTACTAGCTTCTCTCCTCCCCTGGAAGTAATGTTCCCGAATCATTTGTTCTTAGTGAGCTCACTCTCTCCTCTCACACTCTCAAGGCCCCTCCTCTCCTGGCGTAAGTCATTACCCCCATGAGGACAATTACCCAAACTCCCTCTAACCCCACTTCATCTTCAAAAGCCCCATGGCCATCAGTACAGGACATTCCTCGAGTCGCTACAACACAAACGGCACAGGGTGAGCGCATGCTCCTTTCAAACCTCTCCTCCATGCTTCCTGGTTTCTGGAAATAGCAGCCTTGTGTCTTCCAGGCATCCATTCACATCGGAACTTCCTCTCTGGCTTCTCACACGTCCTGCCCCCCAAGCTGAAAGGTAGACACGATGTGGTTCCGTACTCGTCCATTCACCCACTCATCCAACAAGCCTGCGCTGAGGCTGCCGTGAGCTACACATGTGCAGGGGCTGGGATGCAGCAGTTGAAGCCAAGCTCCTTTCCATCATGAAATGCATATTCCAGTGGAGTCAAATAATAAACAAGTACAGGGACCGGCAGTTGGCGTAATGGCTATGTCGCTGGACTCCCATGTAATCCACCACAGTTCGAGTCCCAGACCCAGTGGCTTAAGCTCACATGTGCCTATATGCCCAAGATCCCGAGAATGGAGGAGAAGAGATTGCAGTGTGGCCATTGCCCCTGGGGGGGGGTGATTTCTCGCTTTCTGTCTTCTGTCTCTCTCTGTCATTCTGGTGAATGCATGCGCCCTAAAGCCAAAAAACCTCTCCAAAAATAAATAAATAAATAAGTATAATATATGCAATGCTAAGTATTGATGAGGCCAAGAAAAGAGCAGAGAAATGCTTCGAAGAGTAGGCGAGGGTTCCATTTTGGATAGGCTGAGTCAAGGTGAAGATCTCAAGGAGGTGAGCGAGCAAGCCATGAGGCTACTGGGGAGAACATCTGGGGCTGAGGAACAGCAACTGCAAAGCCTAGCCAGGAGTGGGAAATAGGGGAAAGGCCCATTGGGGATGGGCCGGTACGAGTCACCTGTTAGCCATGCAGGTAGAGAGTGGGGTATAGACATTTGCGGGGAGGCCCAGACTGGAAAAAGTGTCATCAGCATGTGGGTGGCATTTAAAACTCTTAGTCTGAAAAGGGGACAAGGGCTGAAGATGAGATGGATCCAGGGCAGGACAAAGTGGCCAGAGAGGTGGGGGGGAATCCAGGGGTGGGAGAGGAGAGCTGACCTCCCAAGGACTGGAGACTTAGTATTGCGAGTGCTGCTGGGGGACAGTAGGCTAAGGACCGACGCATGGCCTCTGGGGATGTCACTGGTCACCCAATGGGAGAGGTCTGGGTAGGCCTGTGAAGGCGGATGCCTGACAAGAATGGGCTCCAGAGAGGTGAGGAGAAGCGGGGACAGCAGAGACCCTGTACAGCTCAGGCGTCTGTATGCTCACCACCTTGCCGTCACCCCACTACCCTGATGCCCCCGGAACGCTTGCCCTGTTCTCTTTCCAATTCCTAATCCTGTTTGTACACAGCTATGAGTATAGCCCGGCTCCAGTTCCACATTCCCCTGCAGAAATCCTTGGAAAGCTTGCCACTCTCAACTAATAAAAATCTGAACCCCTCAGGCAGGCATTCGAGGTCACGCAGGGCCAGGCTCCTAGCTCACGCTCCCTCGTGTCCCTATATTCACGAAACGAAACTGCTCCCCCCACACGCCCTCGAGTTCCTACCCTTTGCCTTTCCTCCTACTGCTGTCGTTACTCAAAGTTCCTTTCCCATACAGGGAATCTGGCCAACCTTCCGGGCACATCTGAAGTCTCACCTCCTCTGTGAAGCCCTTCCTGGTTCCCCTCACCAAATGAAGTTTCATCCTTCTTCTGCCCCCATAGCACTTGTTTTTTGCCTCTCTTTGCAATTATTTGTATAACTGTCTCCCTTCCATCACTGTCAGCACGCTGGAAGCACTGGGTTAAATTAATCCTCTCCAGATTGTGGATGGTCAATAAAACTGGCTCCCAGTGAGCTGGACGGGTGGCGGGGTGCCAGGGAAGCTGCAGTGAATGCCGGTGGGGTTGTCTGTGGATTTCAGCTTTGAGAAATCTGTTTCCCTGCCTCTGCCCGGTCCTGAAAAAAAGAAACATTGGCCAGGCCGACGAGGATCTTCCTCCTCTTGACCTTGACAGACGGTTTGATAGGGATGAAAGTCGTTTGGGGTCTCTGGCAAGAGAACAAGAGAGGAGACCAGACAATAGGCAGCAAAAGACACTGAGGCTGCAGAAAACGATCTGCAGGCGGGCTGCCGTGGCTTGAGCATTTTGGTGTCTATCGACTCTCCTTGTTCCCTGAAAAATAGAAATACACACGTTGCCTTTTTTGCTCTGCCTCTCATTTTTTAAGACACCATTTTCCGGCCTCATGGTATCTGCAACAATTTGTTTTGAGAGATGGCCGTTTCCCCAGAGGCCTTCAAGCATCGGAGTCCCACGAGGCTGTCAGAGTTGAGGTGCCTGGCGAATGATTTCTGGGGGCTGCTCAGTGACCTTCTTTAGGTCCTAAATGAGGGCACGATTAAGAAGACTTTGTGTTTGGAGGAGGAGGTGGCCCCAGAGGAGGCGAGCCTGCTCTGTTCTGCAGTGTGGGGTAAGAGCTGCAAACGAGAATAACCACCTCACCTGGGGTCCTCAGCGCTCAGGATGACAGGAACATTTCAGGAACTCACAGGTGAACTTCCCTAAGAGGGCAAGGAGGGAGCACCAAGGTCGTATGAAGAGAAAGGACGTAAAGTTCACAAAATTCATAAATCATCCGCCTTCCCAGATTTTTAAACAGAAAATGTCCACCTCAAAGTCAGGTTTTCTAACATCTTTTGTTTGTTTGTTTAAATTAGAAGACCTAGCACCCATTACCTGGAGCTATACAGGGACTGCTCTCTTTAAATGGGACAGAAATCTTCCAGTTTGCCACACTCCCCCCAACTCCCTATTGTCCTGTCTGGCCCACTTCATTCACTGCCATTCGAGTTTTCAACCTCAGCACAACCTGGTCAGTTGGACCAATGTGAGATTTGGACTTGAATGACCTAAGTCATCCCATTTGTCTTTATTTAGAATGTGGCTCTTCTCGCTCATCGTACAATATTTCCCAAAGGCCTAGTCTTATTAACTCATATACGCTGCAAGTTCAGCTTCTTGTAACTCTATCTTCCCACCTTCTCAAGCTTCACTTCCCTACCCTGGAGATTTGCCTTCATCCCTTTAGCCCCGGAAGGACACTGACCCCTTTAGTTATTGTGTAAGTACAGCTTGATCTTAGGTACAGAGAAGAAAAAGAGGGTCTCAGAGGTGACATCATCAATTCAGTTCTCCAATGTTGGAAAATTCTTTTATTAAACACATTCCAACGTTCCAGAAGTGCTCTCTCTTTTTTCAAAATTCTGTTCAAATGAAGAGTGGAGGTCTCTTGTGCTTGAAACATCATTTATCCAGATCTTACTCACCCCACTTTGGGGACATCCTACCCAGGCCTGATTCCAAGGAGGAGAAACCAAGGAGCCGGGTAGATCTGCTTTTACAAATCCCATCACGAAGGTCATGGCGAGACGGGGAATGTGACTGAGAGTAAGAAAACAAGCAATGGCATAACAGTTACGTCATTGGACTCTCTCATGGGCGACTACGGTTCAAGTCCTGGACCTGGTGACTTGAAACTCACACCAGGCGTGTATGTGTGCGTGCGCCCAGGATCCTGGGTGAAGAATGGAGGAGAAGGGATTGTGACATAGCCATCCCCCAGGGAGTGATTTCTCACTTTTCCTCTCACTGTCTTTGTCTCTGGCAAATACATGCATCCTAAGGCAAAAAAAAAAATAAAATAAAGCTGAGAAAAATAGGTAATGCAGTGCCTCTACAAGAAAGCATTCAAGGGGCCAGAAGGTGGTATGGTGGTTGGGGCGCTGAACTCCCATATGGTCGACTGCGGTTCAAGTCTCAGACCTAGTAGCTAGCTTTCTCACTTTCTCTCTCTCTCTCTGTCTCTCTCCGGTGAGTGAACATATCCTATAGTGAATTTAAAATAATAATAATAAAGTTAAGTAATTCTTTAAGAAAATAGAAAGCATTCAAAAGCAAAGATTTCTAGAAAAGCACTCATTCATGCAAAACACAATAATTAATTATTATCTGCACTCGGTGTTGTGCCACATTCATGGTCTCTGCTCCTACGATTTCATTTAATGCAGTGCAGAGGAGAAAGCCAATAATCAAAGCAAAACACGCCACGGATGCACAATGTCTTGGGCCCAGATGTGTTATGGAATGCAGGCTTTTTTTTTTTTTTTTTGCATTTTCTGAAAGCAATACATTGCATGTACTATAGCAATACATTGCATGTACTATGTAACACCCCCAGCAAACCCATTAATATTTCTCCAGCAAACATATGAATACTTACACTAAGTGGAACAAAGACTATAGCTAGACTCATGTCAGTTCAGATCATGTTTTTTTTGTTGTTGTTGTTTTTGTTTTGTTTTGTTTTTAAGAGATTTTTTTTGCTCTAGGGTGCATGTACTTGCCAGAGAGAAAGAAAGCAAAAAATCACCCCCTAGGGAGGGTGGCCATGCCACAATCCCTTCTTCTCCATTCTCCTCTCAGAATTTTTGGCAGGCATCCACACGTGCCTGACACAAGTTTTAAACCACCAGGTGAAGGACTTTAAACCACTATCGAACACATGAGAGTCCAGAGATGTAACCATTACAACATCTGTTGGGCCCACAGGCCAGTTTTTTGCTATCAGATAAGGTTCTTGCCCCAAATCAGATTGCTTCACATTTACAAAAAGTGAAATTTATGGGGTCAGCAGGTGGCATGGTAGTTAAGATGCTGGATTCTCGCATGGCTGACCATGGTTCAAGTCCAGGACCTGGTGCCTTTAAAGTCATGTCAGTTGTATGTGCATGCTCAATATCCCAAGATAAGAATGGAGAAGGGATTGCAGTGTGTCCAACCTTCATAGGGAGTGGTTTCTTACTTTCCCTCTCTGTGTCTCTCTCCGGTAAATGCAAACACCCTAGGGAAAAAAATCTTAAAAAAAAAAAAAAATTAAAAGATCTATTGGACAAGACATGGAAGAACTTTCCAGGAGAATGGGCCAGCACACAGCAGACAATAATCTAAACAGGGCCAGCAGGTGACATGGGGGTTAAGGGCACTAGACTCCCACAT